ACATCCAGTACACTCGTCCCCTCATACCCCCTGAGCTGCTCAAACCACGTGCGGCTTCTCCACCTGCTCTGAGCCACATGAAGGACCCAGCTCCAGGAATCCCCGTGGCCATGACACCAGGATGGATCCTGTGCTGCAAACTCAGAGGTTGTTCCAAAAACACCCTCACTCGTCCCCATCACTGCCCCTGCAGCTGTGCTCGTGGGAAGCAAGGTCACGGCTGCCTCGTCCTTTCCTGGACCCACTTCTTGACATGCCCAAAGCCCTACCCAGAGAGGCAGAGGGGCTGTGAGCATCCCTCAGCATCCGGCTCTCCTGCCACACTGCCCGTGCGCTGTGATGCTGGAGCCTGTCCTGCGGTGGGAAACCTCCCAATTCCTCCTCCCAGCTTTGGGGCAGCGGGAGGGAGGCCCCCAGCTCATGTTTCAGCACTTGCATGGCCTCTCCCTGAACCCGGCACCACTGAGGCAGAGCTCTGCTGGCTCTGGGAAGCTGTTTTCCCCATGGCACCAGTGAGAGTGGGCTCCTGTCTGCCAAAGCAAGGCTAAGATGGGCTGCTCCCAGCCAGGTGTGTGATGCCCCATCGCATCTCCCACCTCCCCCCTGAAAATCATGACTCCCTGTCTGAAGTGAGTACTCAATTCACATGTGTCTTTGCTGCTTTCTTCCCAGAAAAGCTTGGGAGAACAAGACAGGGGGACCCTAAGGGCTGCCTGGACCAGAAGAGCTCAGCTGCAGTGTTTGAGTGCCACAAACAGCTCTGGTACACTCTGATGCCACCACGATGTGACACTTACAGGTTCCTGCTCCATTTCTTGCGGGAGGTCTCATCCCCTTCGTCACAGCTGCATTCAGGGTCAGCTCTGCTCAGCTTGAGGGGGAAGAGAAAAACAGTGTCTGCATCATTGTGCCAGTGCATGGCCCCAGTGGCACTCCGAGGTCACCCACCAGGCACTGCCAGCATCCCCTGTGGTCCCCACACCTGCACAGCCCAGACCCACAGGGCTCCTTCCCCACAACCACAGCTGCCTGCAGCAATGCAATTGGACAAGCATTCTGGCATGGGGACCTGCCTCCCCCCACCCACCCTATGCCACCTTCAGTCCATGGTGTTCCTAGAGAATCTGAGCAGACACCATGGCTGGTGGCCCAGAAACCCCTCCAGGTTCAAGATGCTGACAGTGGGGACAACACCT